ATTCAATGACAAACTTGATTAAAAGATTCAAACTTTGATCTTAAATCTACGTAGCATATCTTTAAACATGAATCATCATAAATTGATTATATATATGACTTGGATTATACTATTTCTTAGTTTACTGATTCAATGTAATTAACTGATAAAATGTCGATATGCTCGTTGTTATTTTTTTTATGTCAGTCCCTTTCCATCTAGTGTTTTTTGAAAATAATATGTTTAAATTCATTTTTTCCCAAGAAAATGAGTAAGTACAAAATATATAAAAAGATCTTCGTACAATATAGGTATATACAGATTAAACGTAAAATAAAATCCTCTAACACAGCAGCTCAACTTATCCGCTGGATTCTTACCAAAAAAAATTATCGGCTGGATTGATAGACAAGTGCGAAACCGACTCTCGTCAATTCGGGTTATGGGAGATAGGCGTTATGACAAAGGTTTACAAATTTGGTTTGAAACTAGATTTTAAGAATTAAATTGTGTCTTTTAGCGATCATGTTTTAAATTTCATGTTGCGCTAGTTATAAAAACGTTAGAATATAATTTAACATTATTTAAAAAAAACATAAAATGAAAAATAGAATGAGCATTAGCTAGAGTGATCATCTTTTTTTAGATGTAGACTACATGATGTAATAGTTTATATATAGTGTTATGAATTATGATGTAGGATAGTAGTAAAATGCTTTCCTTTACCATCATCAAGATACATTTATAAAATATCTAAGTTTATGTCCAATTGCAAGTGTAAGGATAGAGATTCCCATCATTGAGGGGCTAATTCTAGAAATCTGTACTTGACCTATTAATGTGGTTTGATTAACCAAGTAGTAGATTTCCAAACATATTCTAATATTGGTCGAAACTTGAATGAATGACTTAGAAAGGTCAACTTGAGTAACCAATGCGTGTTGTCTAAAATGATAAAATGCAACTTGAACTATTTTATAAAATTTTGTGAATATTTTTTGTTTTTCTTTTGAACCTAATTGAAGTAGTATCTTTTTCGGATCACTAGATCTAATCTGTTGAACAATTAGTAATCTTTTGTAGAATTAAAAAATCAAATTATACAAGAAAATTTTCAATTTAAATAGGTGGGATTAAGTATGCGGAAACAGGTATAAGTAGAGAAGTTGAGAAATCTTCATAAATGGAATCGGGAACTATAAATGATCTTAATGACAATAACTACAGAAAGAAATAAAAATGTTTGGACCATTCACATTAATCGAAACCATTAAGTTATTAACATACATTATGATCATTACTTGTTATGTGATTAGCCATGTGAAAATATAATTTTATAAACTTGAAAATGATACTAATTATATGCATAATGGTCCCCTCATAGTTTTTAACTTTGAATTTAGAGAAATTGCAATACTGGCCAAGTGACTTATCTAGAGTGTATTCAATGAGACAGATAATAATAACTTCAATAATAGGAATATTAAGAAAGCTTAATAATCCACATCAAGGTTAAAATGAATTTATGATTTGTTTTATTCTAAAATCACTATAAAAAACGAGTTAAGAAGCTAGCTAAACCAAAGTTAGGATTATAAGTGACAAAATTACAAGAAATTTTGTAGTATAATCAAGAACCTCACGTTGTAATAATAAAATCTCAGTGCACGTGGATCCTCCTGTATTTATATTAATCATATAATAAACATACTTTATGATAACAAAATCCAGCCTGCCATTCTCTTAATGACACAATTGTATGTGATTCGATATGTAGGATACGACTTGGGGGAGGTACAGTTTTGTAAATATATTTATACATATGATTATATTCGGTTTTTAAATTGAAGCATGTGCATTTTTATCTTTGTTTAATTTTTCACAATGATTAACAATATAAGTTATTTGTACTTTAGTAATTGTTTCTTATTAGTGTTCATAGTAGATATGATTGAACTAAGAACCCCTCTAATAGTAATATGGAGATATATATATACTCCTACTTTAAGAATTAATATGGATTTAGAAACTATTCCATTACCCAATAAATAAAAAATGAAAACCCTAGAGAAAAACTTTATAGACCTAATTAAGAGATATTTTTAGTTTCTTGCAAAATACTTAAAATGCATTGGAATGATTTGATCGAACTGTACGTGTAACTAACTTAAAGAAAACAAAACTCTTTATTTCGAACAAAACACAACTTTTGTCTCTCTAGTCAAACCTAATCAATGGTTAACAAAATCATTCATGGGACAACTGTCATGACAACATAGCTTGTCATATTACATATCACATATTGTTTTTATTGTTAAGCATCATACTTTCATATATAAAACCATCAAAAATCGGGTATAATACAACAAATAATTATCGAGTAATTAAACAATGGATGTAAAACAGTGGCATTTATGACGATTATTTGAAAATAGCAAATGGAAATTTCATGTTCTTAATTATGGAGACATGCAAACAATAAAAGAGGGAATTATTAACCATTATACAAGGAGGATCTTCAAAGGTATATCCTCAAAAAATGATCATACTGATGACGTAGATAGATTCTTCTTATAAAAATTATAAGTTAATAATTGTGTTTATTTCTAAGTGTATAATTATGTATCAGTACGATATTAAGGCCGGAGTCAACAAGATCAAGCTCTCGAAACTAGAAAATATCAATAAGAAAATACCTTACCATTAAATTCTAGCAGTTTTTTTGGTATCCACCTTCTAAATGATTACCATAATTTGAGTTGTGAACAGTGAGGATCGAAATTTAAAAACGGTTTAGAATATCCAGTAAGAAGAAAAAAAAACATAGTGTGACGTTAAAACGTTCTATATGAAATGCATAATCTTATAAATTATATAACACCTTAGAAAACAGTTAATTATAAATCAAAATAAGTTTATGTCATACGTGAATGTTTTATTTTTGTCAAGTATGAGAAATCAACTATTGGTTGGCCTTAAAGATATGTGCATCAGTACAAATACCATTTGGTCCATTTCATTCATAATACAAAATTGAGATGCAAACGAAAAAAAAAAAATGTGTTTAGGAAAAAAAATTCTGACGTTATAATGTTCTATATGATATGCATAATCTTATAAATTCTATTATATATAACACCTTAGAAAACAGTTAATTATAAATTAAATTAAGTTTGTGTCATACGTGAAAGTCTTATTTTTGTCAAGTATGAGAAATTAACTTTTGGTTGGCCTTATAACATGAAAACAACCATCAATTTGTTTTCGTTAAAGATATGTGCATCAGCATTAGTTTTTATAATTTGTTGTTTAGGGTTTAGAGATTTAGTTTTGAAATTTAAAGTTTAGTTTAAGTTTTGTGGATTTACGGAAAAATGTTTTAGCAGTATTTTTGGAAAAACCTAATGATGGTATTTTTCAAACAAAAACTCATTTTAATGGAATTTTTGAGAATTTCCCTGATAAAATACATAATTTACTTAGTTATTTTGGATTTTTATATGATCTTTATTGTTAGTTAAGTTAAAGTTCATTAATTTCATTTTGTTAACACAATTTTAATAAAAAGTATTTTTTAGAATAGAATGTTTATAAACTGATAGTAGTTTCTATATTTTACTTCTATTAGAGCTCATTTGCAATGAAAATATGTTTTCATTTACCATCCATTCAACTGTCTACACAATACTAGTTTAGTAATAAGATAAATATGGAATCATGTAAAAGATTAATAAAATAAATAAATTATTGAACTTTCCAATAACTTCGTTTGTCTTATTGACTTAAATGAAGCTCGTAAGTACATAAATACAAGTACAGCGCTTAAAGTGGGATTATCCATGTGGCTAATCATGTAGTTAATTAATTTTATAATGTTGGTCTTACATTATAAAATTATCAGCTCAAAGGAAAAATATCAAAATAATGTAAAATAAATTAATCGAACACGTATCCCTAATCTTTCCCAAAGGACACATGCTGACATGGGTGGCTAAATCGAGATCTTAGGTATGTCGTCCAATCAATTAATATATAGTTTTAAGTTTATGTTAATTAGAAGAAATTGATTCTTCTACAATAAAGGTGCTGATGTGTATTAGTGTATGGTTATCCTATAATTGATTAAATATATGCTATTGTGCACGTTAATTAACTTGCCAATAAATTTTGAATTTTATTTTTATCTTTCTTTTTAATTATTATTATATACTTCTTTTACATGAAACCCTATTTTTAATACTATCAAAACTTAAAATTTTAAAATACAAATCAAGAATTTAAGAATTTGAAACACAAAAAGAATTCCCAAAGTCAGAATATTCAAACTTCGATTAATCGGAATAATAGAGAGATGACGGAGGAGAGACGAACGAGCTCAAAACTTTATTAATCAGCTAAAAATGTTTGTTACAAAGTTTAACTAATTCTAAACTATACTTTGGCTTATATACAATGCCTAATCTCAATCTTGAACCAACATTAATCACTAAACCAAGATAATAAACCGGACTTAACCAACTGACCAGAATTGATCCTAATACAGAACTCATATATGACAAAACTTGTACTAAAACAAAGTGATATATTCACATTCTTGAACTAGAAAATGAATGTGAAAACTTTTGTGGGATTAAAAAAAATAAAGACATGTCGCATCAAAAACACTACTAAAGCCAGAGTTTAAATAGACTATAGAAAGGTGACAAAACAGATAGATTCTTTGAAACTGATAGCTAACGAAAAATCCAAAAGTGTAGAATTTTATCATTCATTTCTTAGAGTTTAAATTCCATTACTATATCTGTATTCCATAGACTTCACACACAATACAAAAAAATAAAATAAAATAATTTTTTTGTTTATGTATTATTTACTAATTTAAAGATTCCATCCTCGTGTGGACCAATATCGGACTGACGATCATCGGTGAATTCAATGTCTCTTGTCTTCTCTTCGTTAATATGATACTAGCTACTATGCATTAAGAACTTCTTGATATATTTTCACATAATTCAAAAACATTACATAGTCTTTTGGATCGGATATTAAAAAAATTTACGTGGGATTTTAATCGAGAGAGAATCATTGTTTTCCCCCGATATTATTACAACGTACGTAATTAATGTCGAGACATAATTAAGTAATGATTAAAACTCTTCATTAATTGGTGATCAGATTCGAATTAGTCCTGTCTCGTTGTGATGACGAGAGGATAGCATCAATGGCGTCTTTAACTTGAGATATGTCTGGAGCTTTTCCTCCTTGTGCTGGCCAAAACTCATCGGTCGCAAGTACCTATTAAAATTAGGTTAGGTTATATCAATATGTTACGTAAAATTCACTAAACATGTTTATATAAATATGATAAAAATCAATCTTGTAGAGATATTTTGAGGGATGTTTGTCATAATTAATATACCTTTACTTGTACTTGAAGGAACTTGACATAGCTAATAGCTTTCTCTAGCATCGTCACCAAATCAACCTGGAAGAATGAAATAACACATATAGTTCAGAATAAATAATTTTTATGAAGTTGTTATATTATATATTTATAATATGGATGTGTATGTACCTTGGTGCCATTGGGTACAAGTTCTTGTAATATCTTGAGACGTTCACTAATCCTTTCTCGTCGATTCTGAACAAAATAAAACATGTATACTATAAGTATGATTTAGGAGATTAAATTTTATTTTAATGAATGTAAAATCTCAAGAAAGCAAACCTTGGCTGCTAGGCTTTGTGGATCTTTAGGTGAAGTTGATGGCTTAGGCTTGGCCTTCCCGTTCACGCCGTTACTAGGTTTCTTCGATGGTTGTGTGCTCTCTCCCTATATATACATAATTCACAACATATATCAACGATCTTTGATTAATATCTTTTATGAAAAATACTCACAAAGGGTTTGATATATGTAATTACCGTGTGAGAACGTTTGTTTCCAGCGGATTTAGGCGACATAGACTCATGTCTAGAGCCAGTGGTTACAACAGTTGAATCAGAATATAACCAATCTTTTTGGCCTTGAGGAGTTTCTGTGGATCTAGGGCTAATAATATCCATATGATGTTGATTCCAATTTGTGAAGCCATAGCTCATGTTATTGCCCTCCAAGAAGGAGAAGCCACTGGCGCCGCTACTACCACCACAGCTTATGGCTGGAGGAGGAAAGGTCTCATGATGATCGAAGTTAAGAAATGATGACCCGTTGAAATCCATCAAAGAGTTGTGATGATGATCTTCGCCGGATTGGTAAAACACAAACCCTTGATGTTGTTGATGATCTGAATTCATTGTGCTACTACTTGAAGCCGAGCCTCCTCCTCCTCCTCCACCGGCATAAGCTGTCTCTGGCTGATCCAATCCCGGCGAGGAGAGATCTTCGGACGAGGAAGAGTTTTGTTTTGCCATGTAGTTAGGCTCGTTAGGGTGGTCATTAACAAGTGCCATTAGACACTAAATAAGTTTGAAAGAGTGGTTTTGTTTGGTTAGGGTTTTTTCTGTGTGTTTCTTGTTGATGAGAAGTGGCTTTAAGGTTTTGTCTATTGGTAAGCAAAGGGAGACAATGTTTGTTGTGTAGTTATGTTATGATAAAGGTTTATATAAGTGGTTAAGTCTAATATTTTATTTAAGCTGGTGACGTATTCTAAAGATTTCTTAATTCTTTTTAAAAAGTTTTATTGAGTTTGATTAAATTGATTAGAAAAATAAGCTGGCACATATAAGATCGAACTCAATATTTTTAATCTTATCAATTTAAAGCTCCTAAGTCATTAATGCATAGAACTCTAGCTAGCTAGACATATATTTTATGTACATTTTTCCTTAACTTGCAATATTGGACTAGCTAACACTAGCATGCCTAAAACGTATAGTTCATGGGTTTACTAACTTACTAAACGTGTTGGTACGTAGTTTTGTAGTCATTGTCTCAAATCCTTGTAATGTTTTCACTTTTTTTTTGTATGGATAGTTACATTTCTCTCTGTTTAATTATGTTAAGATCATGATATATATTTTAGTCTAATGTTCAAATTATCTTTTATGGAAAATACTCTAAAATTTTGTCGATTGACAATACATAACACTTGTAAATAATCACTTTGCTAATAGATGAATCATTCTAACCCATACGTTTTTTTTTTTAATAAAACCTGATTTACATGTTGTATGATGCTTTATTACCTCAAAAAAGAGCGAAAATTAACTAAGCTTATATTTTCTTAATCTTTTGAATTTCTAAATTGCAAACCGTATAAACAAATGTTGCATTAGTTGTAAAAATGTATGTTTCGAATAACTTTTACATTTTTTTTTTTTTAAATAGTAGTTTTTTAATCGGGGTCAAAATAGTAGTTTTCTTTTAACTTTTATTCTTTAGGACAACCTTGTTAAGTGTGTTAATCAATTGGATCGAGTATTCACCAATATGTAACAATAATCCAAACTAAACCCACTTATAAAACTAGTGTAAACAAAAGTTATCATTAATTAAGTTATTTTCATAGTATATATATAGTGATTTGTTTGAAAACTTGGCATGCAAAAAAAATCAAGATGTCGGGGGAAAAAAAATCAAAAATATGGATCTGATTCATCATATCATATAACATCATTATCTTTTTGAAGTAGTGATATAAGTATAAAAATTGAATGAACGTAAATCAAAGTGTTGTTATTACAATATTTATGAGTAAACTCATCGGGATTGTTAGCTGGCAGTAAGGTGAAATTAATGGGACATGAGACTTCTTATAACCCCAAAAAATATATTTTTATTAATTAAGCAAAGAACATTGAAGCAAAAGCATCGCCGTATCTTGCGCTAATCTACACGTCTTTTTTTGATTCCCATATATGATCAAAATTTTAATATTATCAATTGTTTCGATGATTCATTTTTATTGTTTATTTTTAAATTTTGATGATTCAACTTTTTTTCATATGAAGCTACTTCTTAGTTTCATTTTCTTTAGCCGACACGTCGAGTTAAGAGTAATATATATTAGTTGTATTTTACTTTATCTTCGACGTTAATATCTTTTTAGATCAAACTTATAAACTTATGTGATATTTGAGCAGACCTTCTTTGAGTTAGGAACCGACCCAAACATGGTAACAGTCTTCTTCTTGTGTACACTGGAACTCGAACCCTAAGATGGTCATGTTTTCTCAAAAAAATTGTTAAAATTAATCGGTTTAAGTTATTATAACTAGATCTCTAAATCATTTTTTACCATGGTGTAAAAAATTATCAATTTAACTGTCTAAATCATGTAATTTTTTATAATTATATCTTACATCTATATTATAATTTTTACGTCCTATTGAGTTAATATGTTAATCTGTTGAAGAACAAACATATATATACAGATATACTTAAGCATAATTCATTTTTAATTAAAAACCTTATGGACTGACCAAGATATACAGACAACAGACAACAAAGCCCTCCAATCTCAAAAGCCTAAAAAAAACTATGATAGTGAGATAAACGGTTTAATCTGTAAAATTAATAAGAAGCCGAAACTTATTCTATACTTGTAATGTTATAAAAGTAAAATGGATTTTAATGTAACTTATAATGAGATAAATTGTTTTAAATTAGACAGTCTAATACAAAATAACAATACTAGTATTCTCCCTTGCACTAATATCTTATATCGTGTACCTCATTCCGGCTACAATTTCTGGCGTCGGTGAAGCTTTGGTTCACCAGTGTTGAGAATCTCTATCACTCATCTTCAACTTGCTAGAGCCAACACTAAAAGAGCCACCGAACTATCGATATGTGATTTCATTTTCCGAGAAGAGACTTCATAACTAGCAACACTAAAAGAGACTTCATAACTAGCAACCAACTAGCTACCGTGGATGGAAAGGCTATCTCAACTATCGTCCCAATGTCTTTTTATAAGGGCAATTCACCTTTGAACTATTCATGAATATGGTTTTGACTTACATGAGTCTCGTATGTGGTTTGGATATTGCTCATGTCTCCACATTTCTTTGGATATGATGTAGAACTATCTATCTTTTCGTTTCGCCATCTTTGCTTTGGAACTTTGTAATCTTCTATCTTGTTGAATGAATGTTAACAAAATCTGTTTGTCGAAGGTAGATAAATTGTGTAATATTTCTTTTTTTATCGAAAAATATGTATCCTACTAACTTACTTGAATTAGTTTCATGATATATATAGATATATCATTGCTAACACTGATTGTGAGATTGTTGTATTTTTATATGTATTTTTTACATCTATATTTTACATTTATATTAGCAAAACAAACAAAAAAAGAAAAGAATAAAAATTCAAAAAAATATACAAACTAACATATTTGAGAGGGTCTCTATTTTAAATTAATTATACTAAATTATAGTTATCCTTTTTCTTAGTTAATAATTCACTCTATTGCCTTTCATTAACCAAAATTAGATAATTTTGGTTTGTGCAAATTTGTTTCTGCAATTTTAAAATAAATTTGAAATGAATTTGTATCTCTCGCTCCCTATCCTCCCATCTCCTTTCCTCTCCCTCAAAAGTAGCTACCACTCATACATAAATAATACTGTCAGAATTTAGATTATATATATAAAAGACATTATCCAATTTTCATATCCATATCTATAGGAGGACAAATCACTATCATCATACTAAAACTACATCTAAAACAGCTTAAATCACAAAAATTTGAAATAGTATTATGTTTGCAATTTGGTACAAGCTTAGTACAAGGCAATTCTTTATCGCATGTATGGTCGTATTTAAAATCAGCCAAATATAGAGATTTGTACAATTTGTGACATAGTTTAAGCACTCAAACTGATTAAATAAAAGAAAAATTATATTCTATATAAAATACATCAAATTAGTTATTGATAAAAATACGTAATCAATAAAACTTTACTATTGGATTGAGGTAGTGTGAGTGAGTCGAGCATGCTGCAGTCGATCAAGTTCCTATAATATTCTCAAATCCTCTATCCAATCTGATTTTAGTGGCCTGATCGATTTTGTCTACATGATCGTCGTCTTTCCATTGATCTATTAGAAGAACCCTAAAACTCTTCTTAACCTAACACTAATTTAAAAATATAAGTGATGATATATAGAAACAAGAAAATTTCACAAAAATCAAACGATCATATCAAAGATTGTCATATTGTGGCACACATAACCTTTTCATATTGGAGTTTTTAATTGTTGTTACTTCCTACATGGATGATATACATAAAGTACTTTTCTTTACTATAAAAGGTAAGATTTCTTAATCAAGCTTGTTGGTATCTTTCTCTATCGATTCCTCTAAGTATATTACTATGATGTAGAATCGCTATAAAGATCATTAACTCCTCACATCAATATAAAGACATCAACGTCTCCAATTTCTTTCACACAAAAGAAACCTCTCTTGTGGTCGTTGGCTATGGTCTTGTCTATCTTTTGAGCAATTTAAACAACAACTTTACCAACTAATCTTCTTATATTAAATTATGAATTAATCATTCTAACAATATTTCAAATAATTAAATCACACCCCAATTATATCCTCCAACTGTGATGATCCTAACAATTATTCAAAAAAAAAAATTAATTCTTTCACAATTTTTATTTTATTTTTTTCCCACCTCTTTTTCGTGCTCAAAACATCACACCAATACATTGACGATCCAAAGACCTCACTTTTTCACATTTCAAAATTTTAAAAAAGAATTGGTCTTTGTCACTTTCTTTCTGCTTTTTCATTTTCTTTAGAATGGGTTTTTATGTTAAATCAACGCAATACAAATACAAATCCTCTTGAAAACGATCAAGAAAGCAAAACCCATTTGAAAAGAATGGTTCTTGATTGTTTCCGTCCTCCTCAAACCAGCTCTCGTGAGGATGAGAATAAAGCTTGGCTTTTGGCGGAAACAGAGCCAAAGCTTGTAGACTCAGAGCCACATTCTTTGCAGTCTTCATTTAGGTTTAGTCTTTTCTCGCAAGTGGAGCTGGAGAAGATGAAGAAGGAGCAACCTTTATCGTCTTATCGGGATTTCCCGGTGTTGGAAGGTTCAGAGACGGTTCTCTTTGTGACTATGGAGAATGAGAGAGGAGAATCGTCAAATGAGATGAATTTGTCTAGAGTTGTTTCATTGGAGAAGAGTATTTCTCCGGCAACCAATACTTTGGTCAGGTTCAGTTACAGTGAACTCCTTGCCGCCACACGCAGTTTCTCAAAACGTAAGACTAGTCCTTGAATATGCCTTTGTTATTAGTAATTTGATATGTTAAAATACATTTTTTTCTGTGTTGAAATTGGTTAGGAAGGGTGTTGGGAAGAGGAGCTTGTAGCTGTGTGTTTAAGGGAAGAATCGGGATTTGGCGTAAAGCCGTGGCAATCAAAAGACTTGATAAGAAAGATAAAGAATCTCCAAAGTCGTTTTGCAGAGAGTTGATGATTGCAAGCTCTCTTCATAGCCCTAATGTTGTTCCTCTGCTAGGGTTTTGTATCGATCCTGATCAAGGGCTTTTCTTGGTGTACAAGTATGTCTCTGGTGGTAGCCTCGAACGCTTTTTGCATGGTAATTACGACAACTCCTCTCTTTCTTTATCATTGGATTGCAAGTTTTGTATAGATTCACGGGTTTAACTTGGTTTCAAATTAGATAAAAAGAAGAAGAAAGGTAGGAAGAGCCCTTTGTGTCTGCCTTGGTCAACAAGGTACAAAGTTGCCTTAGGTATTGCAGATGCCATAGCCTATTTACATAATGGCACGGAACAATGTGTTGTGCATAGAGACATCAAACCCTCAAATATTCTTCTTTCCTCAAACAAAATTCCAAAGGTAAGTAGACTTTGAACCATTTGTTTGGTAATTTATCAGCATAAGTGTGTTATGTATTCATTTTGAGTTCTCTTTTAGTTGTGTGATTTTGGGCTGGCGACTTGGACCGCTGCACCTTCGGTTCATTTCCTCTGTAAGACCGTGAAAGGAACTTTCGGGTATCTAATTCGAAATAAACCTTTTGATGGTCATGTACTCATGTTTATGGATATATCTAAGAGCTTATAACAATTTGGAAACTTCTTGTAGCTATCTAGCTCCTGAGTACTTCCAACACGGCAAGATATCTGACAAGACCGATGTTTACGCGTTTGGGGTTGTGTTGCTCGAGCTTATAACTGGTCGAAAACCAATTGAACCAAGAAGACCATCTGGTGAAGAAAATTTGGTAGTTTGGGTAAAGTCTTTATCTTATTCTTAGTTAACTACTAGCTAGTTAACCAACCCATTGACTTTTGTTAGTTGTAGCTTCTTAGATTCTACAAGTCCCTTATTCTAAAAATGGAAAGGGGATTCTAATTTCCAACCAAGAAATGGATAATTCTAATTTGTGACTCGACCTTCTAAATTTGGGTTTTGGTCAAGCTTGGTTGAGCTACAAATTCTTGTTAAACTGTAAACGGTTTATGACAAAACATGATGGTCAAATGCAGTTTAAGGCATCTAATTTGCATCTACTTCACTTCTACTTGGTTTTTTTATGTTTTTGTGTAGGCAAAACCGTTGTTACATAGAGGTATTGAAGCTATAGAGGAGTTGCTAGATCCAAGGCTGAAATGTACAAGAAAAAAAACACCTTCGATGGAGCGTATGATTCGAGCTGCAGCGGCCTGTGTGATCAATGAGGAAGCGCGAAGACCGGGGATGCAGGAGATACTATCAATCCTAAAAAGCAGTGAAGGGATAGAGCAAAGGACGTTTTCAAGCCGGAAGAAATCAAATCTTCCAGGTATAATGGACTGTTATCCACAGTTTCAACGGACAAGATCCGAGATGAAGAGTCATCTTGCTCTTGCAATGCTCGGAGTACCCGAATTTGAAGATGATGAATATCTTTTTCAGTGAATGTAACATGTTACCAAACTACAAGAAGATGGTACGTACGTGTAGATATCATATACACATATGTAAATGTTTATTGAGAAACCCGGTTTAGATTTTCGTTCTACCGGTTTGGCTTTTGAGAGATCCAGTTCTTCCGGTATGGTTCATTATCATAAAATAAAGAAAAATTGAATTATACTTTACGTGACTAGGTCAATATTATAAATTATAATCATAACTTGACATATATATTTAGAATGAAGCTTCAATGACCAAAACAACCCACAAATCAACTTCGAGAAATACAATTACTTTACGCAAGTATAGTAGCTTAAAGACTATATAGAACAAACAACTAGAGAAATATATATATGATCATTATAAGTTTATTAGAGATTTGTCTTTATAAGATTTTCAAACTCTTACGAGAGAGTGAAGTCAAGGATTTGGGGTAGATGGTCTTTTTCGTTTAGGGTGTCTACACAACCTCTTTGGTGCATCGTGAACCTCATTAATTTTGATGCCACTTCCACACGATGGAGATGGAGGAGTGTATCTTGTACGATAAAAGGGAGGACCTTGATGCACAAGAATGGAATATGTGAAAAACAAAATATATGAGATGCAAATAAAAATTAAAACTATGTGATCAAAACTAACAATGAAGTTCCCAAATATAATATCTAAAATTCCACTAAAGAAATGGTAAAAAAAAAAAAAGTATTTTTGTACCACAGGTTTGTATTTTTTGGAACTGAATTATTTTACTTAAATTTATCAGTTGATTTATATAATCCCAATTTTTTAAAAATAAAATAAAATATGAAATAACATTAATGGTAATGCTAATTTTATTCCTTAACAATTACGGAATGAAAATCGTGAATTCTTAAGTATATGAATATTTAGAATTCATTTAATATAAAACTCAAAATTAATTAGAATACTTTCATAAACTTATTTTTAGAGTCATTATTAATATTAAATATTTGGTAAGTAAACACTGTTTTCAACATATCGAAAATTAGAATAAAAATAATATTTTATTGTTTATTGTTTGGATTACTAAAACTTTTATGTAACAAACTTATAGAAGTAAAGAGATACTAACCGTGGTAATGGAGTCTAGCTCCCATGACTGTATCCTGAAAGGATAGAGACAGAAGTATTAGAAGCAAACTTAGAAGAAGTGAAGCTGATTTTGTTTTCTTCATTGCCATTGCCATTGCCATTGCTCCTCTTCTTTCACAACTTAGGCTTGTTTTTGACTCTGAGATGAAGAATCTTACTTAAGTATGTAAATTCTACAATTGGTATATATTTATTTTATTTTCGAATGAAGAATTTTCTAATGATATATTAAAACAAAAATGAAAATGCAGTGGTCCTTAGAAGTTTTAAAGTACGGTTGAGAAATGAGAATCGAAGACTTAGTCATGGGAGAGAGTTAATCAAATTATTAAGACGACGTATAGAGTAAAGGCAAAATGCTTAACAAGCAAATTAGATAATTTTAGTTTTAGCAAAAACAAGTTCAAAGCTGCATGGGACTAAATGATCAATATTGATAATATATATATAATATATTAAGCAGCATTTTATCGAGATTTTAGCCTATAGTGATAAGTATTATGATCATTCACCTAACATTCTATTTTTCTTGCATACTCAATAATCCATGCTTCATCAACTATATTTGCCTTTGTTTGATTGCTTTGTTTTTTTTTTTTTTTTTTTCTTATTTATGTTTGTCTTTACTTTATTTGCTTAGACGTTAATTAGGTCTGGTGAGAAATCCTTCAACCCATCTTACTGATATTAGCATAGATAAGCTTATTGTAAATGCTATTGAGGATACAATTAGTCATTTCTTGGGAACCATATTTAACAATTCATCGGTTTTGTGTAGTCTTGGACATTTTGTTTTAATGGTTCGATTTATTAAGTTTTTTTTTTCTACTTCAAAATTCTACCAAATAGGATTTGAAGAAACTGATTTGGTTTGATTCAGAAGCACATTATTATAGGCTATAAAATTTAAGGGAATTAATTTCGAAATGAACCAATTCATTTTTGATTAATTCGTTTAGCCAAAATAAATTACAAACTCATGCAAATTTTTATAAGCCAGTTAACAGATTTTGAAATAAAATAGTATTTACACCAAAGAACAAATAACTGAAATATAAACTCTAGCTTCAACTTTGACCGCAATAAAAGAGCATGATAGCTTCGGATCTACTTAACCAAAAAAATTTAACCTCTAAACCAAAACCTAGATAAGATCATAAATTCGATATTTTAAGCAAAAAAATAAGAAAAGGAGAAGCATAAGCATAAGAATAAGCATAAGAAGAGAGAATCTATTTACCTCTGCATTTCAAGAAAAGAAAACAAATAGTAAAATACAAAATAATCTTATGCATACGGATATGCAACAATTAATTTTAAAAGAAAAACTATATATCAAGGATACCAAAGTGGTAAAATAGAGAATATCAAATTACAAAGATTTTGAAAAGAGTTATGTTAGCTAATGAAAAATGAATAAATGTTAATCAGTACACAATGCGTACACGCAGCTAAAATAGAAGATTTTATTGACAACTCATATGGATCATAACTATCTCTTAAATGTAGAAGTAGGATTTAGTATTATCTACCAAAAAAAAAAAAAATAGTTATATCTTCAAAGATGTTACTACTTTTTTTAGTCTGTCAGTCTCCGAATAAAAAATTCACCCAAAACCTATCATATGAGATCATGAACTCTACCATATGCCCCCCGTATTCTGCTTCGAATGTGGGTAACTTTACCTAATTTGACATATATATATGTGAGTTTATTTTAAAAGAGTATACTACCAGTTAAAAATTGATCACTCTAAATTGAAAATATAATGTTAACAAACCATAATAAAAATTTGATGAGATCTTTAGTAAAAAAATGAGATACAAATTTTCCAAAATTCTCACCTGACAATTTATCAATTAATATATGTCAAAAAAATTAGTTAGGAAAATAATCAACAATAACAGCATATTATAAATACAAATTAAAAAAAAAATTCAAAAATAATAAATTATCAATGGAAAAAAAAATTAGTAATACATCACATCAGCCAATTTTACTTATCTTTTATCATCGTTTCCGGCATAGTACCTAATTTTTTTTCAAAATCCTAAAAATCACGAATTACATATTCTACTCAAATATAATACACAATTAGAACATCAATTCAATCAACATTTTCAGATAAGAGGTAAATTAAAACTAGTCTATAATTAACAAATTTTAGCATGAATCACTCTATTTACCGCATCCACTGATCGCAAGTATCAAAACTATAAACATTGGAACATACTCTTAAGCCAAAATGTATTCTAATTTCACATTGAACTATGATAGATACTATTACGATGTACAAGAGAGATGGATCCAAATTATATATTCACATTCCCATGAACAAATTTTGTTACTACTCATATAAACCCAAAATCGAGATTAATATATCTAGGAATGTTCTACCTCATAGATTGTTTTAGAACTTACTCATTTAATAACTTGGTTGATTCGAAAATCCAACAAGGAGAACAAGATAAAACTTTTATTTCATACTCCGATTACATTCAAACTCAAAAGTTAAAAACAGAGGTAACACACAAACACAATCTTGAAAAAATTCAAGAAACTTGAACTTGAATAGTCTTTGGCTTCTTAGGCTCAGGAGGAGGAAGTTTCGGAACAGTCACTTCCAACACACCATCATGACAAACAGCAGAGATCTTGTCCAAATCTGCATTGTCAGGTAACTGAAACTTCCTCATAAACTTACCCATTCTTCTCTCCATCCTCACGTACTTCACACCTTCTTTGTTCTCTCTTTGTCTATCTCCACTCACCACAAGAACGTTCTCGTTCTCTACTTGAACCTTGATCTCATCTCCTTTGATTCCAGGCATGTCAAAGACGAATGCATACGCGTTCGGATGCTCGATGACATCAACTGGTGTAGCTGCCATTGCCTTTGCGTCTCGCACGTAGGTTCTTGATGGATTGTTACGGCTCTTCTCGTTGTTGTGATCTTCGTGGACTTCGAACATGTCTTCGAGGATTGAGATTATTGGAAACCTTCCAAAATCCATTGTTAGTTGTTGGTTTTGTGTTTGTTTTCTTGATTCTTTGTTTTGTGATTTCTTGATTTAAGGTTTGATGGATTTAAATATGAGTGAAGAAGAGTTTTCTAGAGAAATGCAGATTGTTTTGGTCTTTAGAAGCGTCTTGATCTTTCTCGACGTTTCGTGACATTTTGGTAGTTCAGTCTTTATAGTTTTGGGTCATCTCTAAGTTTACTGATTTTTATCATATCTATATGGGCTTTGAAATGAGGTGTACCGAGGCCCATTAGAGAGATTCAAGTGCTTGGCTCAAGAACTATGAAATTATTTCAAAGACTTATTACCTCTACAGCTACTAGAATACAAAGTTACATTATACAACAATTTTACAACAACAAAATGCAAACCTGCAAAATCTGTTTCTTTGGTGGTGTTACTGAATGTTTAAACAACAGATTGGAGTAGAGCCTCATGTACAGCTTCTTTCGTGGGAAGGGCCGGGATTGCGCCTCTCTGTTTAACGGTTAACGCCCCGCAAGCATTCGCAAACATTAAAGCCTCTTTCAGTCGTTCTTCGTCCTGAAAACAGTTCGGTTTTCTCAGCTTATGTGTTCTTGTTGTCATGAACATCTTAATATGAGGCTCTCTACTCTTTACTCTCTACCAAATTTCCTAGACAGCCTTGTAAATCTAGCCCTCACTAACTGTTCTCTAACCAAACTACTACCATCTAGTCTAAAATGACTAATGACATTACCTGAAGCAAGGACAGATCATTGGCTAGTTGTGAAAGTATCCCGGCAACAAATGCATCCCCAGCACCTGTTGTGTCCACTACATCCACCTTCAATCCATGCACTCTCCCATTAAAATCCTGTACATTGGAAAAGAACTTTAAGTGGTATGTTCTAACGTTGCGGTAATAAAACCCGCCATTAAACCTTAAGTATGAGACTTCTCAGAAGGAAGAGAGGGACTGCTCAGACCTTGGTGTAGTACCGACAGCCTTCAGGGCCTTCAGTGACAAGGAGTAGTTTAAGCTTAGGATGAAACAACTTGCGGACGACATTATCATCATATGGATCTTCTCCTTTCGTTAGAAAGACGATCTCCTCTTCACTTATCTTGATAACATTTGTTCAGAACATAGAAAACAAAATTATATCCAAATGTAAAGAGAAAGATAACATATCCAAATGTATCCTATAAAGATAACCTTTATAATATCAGCAGTGTCCCAAATACTCAAAATCTCATCTCTAGCATTGTCTGGAGAAGGCCACAATGGTAGCCTAAGGTTTGGATCATAGGAAAGAAGAACACCAGCTTCCTTAGCAGCCTTTGCAGCAGCTATATGTGCAGACTTGCACGGTTCTGTGATAAGACTAATCGAACCGTAATGAAATATCTTCGCCTGTCACAAGGACACTCAAATGAGAAGATATGGTTGTTACATGTTTTTGCAGTTCATCAAAGTTCATTCATTACTATACCTTTTTAATCAAATCAAGATCAAGCTCAGACTCTTCTAACAACATATCAGCACTCGGGTTTCGATAAAACATAAACTCCCTTTCACCTTCACTAGTCAATGTCACAAAAGCTAAAGCAGTTCTAGCTCCAGGATCAAACCTCATACCTTCATTATTCACATTGTTATCTTTCAAAATACTCGCAAGCATGTAACCAAACTCATCTTCACCAACCTGTACACAACAGTTTCAAAATGTTACCAAATCTTTAAAGACATAATGAACCAAAGAACACACATTTATGTCATTACCTTCCCAATGAAAGCTGAAGAACCACCAAGACGAGCTATACCAACAGCTACATTAGCAGGTGCACCACCTGGAGCCTTTTTAAAAGCCGGTGCATCGGCTAATGAAAGCCCACTAGTCGTTGGTACAAAATCAATCAGCATTTCCCCAAAACAAACCACATCAGGTGACTCTTGTGTTGAACCATCACTACTAGACAATGCTCTTCCTTTTAAAATCAAGAACACAATATGTTACATGTATCAATCAGAACATATCCAAAATCCAGAATTTTGACAATTTCTCAGATAAAGAACAGATTTTTCAATATGTTTAGGAGATAATTAAAGAACTAATAAGCACCAATTAGATTTATTAACCAATCTAAGAACAGTTCTTAGGGTTTTAAGACATGGATAGATCTAATCTAACAATGGTTCAAGAACAGTTCTGTTTTTGTTTCTTTGTAAGAGATTTATGAGAATTTGGGTGTTATAAAGTTAAAACCTTTGAGGAGATTAGATCGTGAATTCGAGAGTTTTGAAGAAGAGGCTTTGATGGAGATACTACGACGGCTCGAAGTGAGTGAGTTTGATCGGAGAGTTGGACCGGAGAAACAGAACATGGAAGTGGCGGCTTGGAGAGCCATCATTGTCGGAAAACGCGAACGGGAAACGCAGAGATCGGAAACAACGTTTGGGAAACGCTAAGTTTTTGTGTGTTTGTATGCTTGTGAGAGAGATGAAGCTGAGTGATGTGAGTTGAGATTTGAGAGAGAGAGACAGTGACAGAGAAGGGAAGCGGAGGAACCGAAGGAAATCGAAAAATGTCATTTTTAAGTTTAATGGAACGGATCAGAGTGTTTGATTATACCGTTAATTAACAGAATGACAAGTCTTTTAAATTTGATTAAATTTTATTATTAATTTATACTTATTACTTCTAATAAACAAAATATAGGTAAGTGAATATATTTTGGGAAAGATTAAATATTAGATGACAAAAAAAAGATTAAATATTAATTTTTTATAACTAAATATTATCTTATTTTTACAATTTCTTATATTTTGTATACGTAATTTTTTTTATTATGTAAATAAACGATTACATAGTTATTATTTTCATCTGTATTTTTAGACGAAAATGCAAATTACGCGTTTTTATATATTTATATGGGATTTCAGATTTTCTTAAATGGTAATTGTTTTATATAATTATATTAAAAACAATAGCAATATGTGTGTTATCAATTGAAAACTAAAATTTGATTATATTAGATGGTAATTTATTTATTATATATTTATTGTTTTGATTAACAAACAAAACCAAAATTGAACAGTAATTTTGATTTTGGGATGGTGAATTTTTTGGCAGGATTATGTAGTTGGTGAGTGAAGGAGGTAGTAGTGGAACCCAATTTAGGGACAAGTCATTTGGAGTCATATTCTCTTGATATCATAGAGAAGAGACCAATCAAGATTTCAAGAGATCTTTACCTTTTTCTTTGATTCTCCTGAGATAGTAACCTTCTCACTCTCTACATGTTGTATATAGCCTATGCATCAATGTCTTTTAAAATTTAGATAAACTAAGGAAACTTATAATTGTCTTTAGCAATTAAGTTGATTAAAAATTTGACTCATAAACCGGCAATCATTTGGAGATTCTAGACGATAATCATTAATCCTACAACTATATAAACGGTTTTAATTACTTTTTCAAAGATATTGAATTGTTTCGTTTTTTTGTAAACCATCAATTATATTAAAATAGTTTAAACTCCATCGAAGGAGGAGATGTTACAAGAAACGAGAAACGTGAACCAACTACACAATACATGATGAAAGGAAAAGTAATCTTGGTTTTCAGAATTCTGATAACCGCAATGAAACTTGCGACTTCATTTGTGTGGCCATTGACATTGTAAAGAAGCATGAATTCTTTGCAATTTGAATAACATGCCCATCTTGATACACCCATTGCTAAAGCTGCACTAATCGACACTTTAAAATGAGAAATCTCAGTTTCTAGAACACATTTTTGGTAACTATATTAATTAAGTTTTCAACTTTTTCACAATTTTAATTAGCGTTTAAAGTAAAAAATGTTTATTGTTAACAGTTTTATTATAAATTCAAAAATAAATATGCGTGCTTTTATAGTTCGTCTAAGAAAATTGGTGGTCGAAATAAAATACATATATACATTTTTCTTATTATAATTTAAAAGATAAAATTTTAAAAATGTCTAAATCTTAGATTATTTAAGTAAACATAAACAAATTTGATAGCCAAAAAATAATCACAAATTGTATCTTCAAAACAATAAGAAACTGATTTAGTGGTCGTAATCATTTTACTTAAGCTTGTTCGTTTTTACAGATGAGACCAGTTCCAACAAATACGTATCTATGCTCTTATTAGTTTAAGCCTTTTAGCCCGTTTAGGTGTATGAATAGGGCCTTAACTGGGCTTCCCATCAACTCCAACGTTAACTAATCACATGATTTTAATTTTCCATAGTATCTTAATTAAATATTATTTAATTTTCTTTTACTTTTCGTCGTATAATTGTTTTTGTCGGTTGCCAAGATATTTTTCTCACAGTTTCCAAAGAATTCAGAGAAAAAAAAAAAAAAAAGGTCATTTCGTCTCTGAATCAAAGAAGAAGAAGCTATGGCGGATCAGCTAACAGATGAACAGATCTCTGAGTTTAAGGAAGCTTTTAGCCTCTTCGACAAAGATGGAGATGGTTAGTCTCAATCTCATCTTCTTCTTCGTCTTCTTCTTTTCAAATTCACTCTTGATCGTAGTTTAAACCATTTCGGATCTCGTTTTTTTTTTCCACGATTTCGTCTACGATCGTTCTCAGATTCGGAAAAATATTTGAGTCTGGCTCTAGATTTGTGTATTTCGATCTCTGATTCTGTGATTTGTGTGGTTTGATTTTTTGTTTTTTCGTCTTCGATTCTTCACGGTGTTGTTGCTTCTTTGTTGATTGAATCGAGTGTTGGATGTTGTGTTATTCCATCTCTATAGCATAGATTTTGATGTTTCTTGGAAGTTTTGTATTCTTGATCTAGTGAAATGGCTGAGTTCTCTTTGGGTTCTCACTCTAGAGGAAGAATAGTGAAAAGTGAAAACTAGGTCAGAGACTACGATTCAACAGTTGCTTGTAACCAATGGTATTTGAGTGTATGACTGTATTTTGCCTCTTTATTCGTTAATTGTTTCATAATGTTATACAAACATGAGAAAGTATTTGCATCAATGCTTCTTGAATTGTGCTTTGTGCTGAATAGGTTCTGAATCAAGTCTCAAATTGTCATGTTTTCATAGTTTAAGTAGGTATATTGCTACTAGTTTAAGTTCTCAGATAATGTTCAGTTTCATGGAATATACTTGCAAGAGGCTACGTTGCTACAGGTTTAAGTTCTTTGATTATGTTTGGTTTTCATAAGCCAAACAAACTATCATTCATTGTGTATGCGTAGCTCCTATAATGAGTTTCTCGTAATGAAAGATTCTCAGATTTGAAAATGCTGTTTATAGTCATGTATTTGGTTTGTTGGATTCAGTAGTTTATTCATTAATGTTCTCTAATGTTTTTCTTCTTACTGATTGAATAGGTTGCATTACCACAAAGGAGCTGGGAACAGTGATGCGGTCACTAGGCCAGAACCCAACAGAAGCTGAGTTACAAGACATGATCAACGAGGTGGATGCTGATGGTAATGGCACCATTGACTTCCCTGAGTTCTTGAACCTAATGGCCAAGAAGATGAAAGACACAGACTCAGAGGAAGAGCTGAAAGAAGCTTTCAGGGTTTTCGACAAAGACCAGAACGGTTTCATATCCGCTGCTGAGCTCCGTCATGTCATGACTAACCTCGGGGAGAAACTGACTGATGAAGAGGTCGAGGAGATGATCCGTGAAGCAGATGTCGACGGTGATGGTCAGATAAACTACGAGGAGTTCGTCAAGATTATGATGGCTAAGTGATGAATGATAAGAAGAAGAAAATGAAGAATAAAATTGCGGTGTTTTAGGCTTTTTTACTATCTCTACAAAAAAAAAGATTCAGACCTTAGTGTTTTGGGTTTGATTAATGAGCCTAAATAGTTCTCAAGATTTTAACAGACTGAAATTGTGACTTGTCTTTTTTTACTTTGTTGGTCTTTTCTTGTTGGCATAATGCAAATGTTTAGATTTTGGTAACTAGAGTGGTCGCGAAAAGCTCTTATTATACACTTCCCATAGCTTCTGCGTATTTATGTTTGAGACTCGATACTTTGCTGTAGACCTCATACAAAACACAAACTCATACATAAACTGAGCTGTAGACCTCAAACAAAACACAAACTCATACATAAACTGAGGTAATGGTAATAGCAGAATCAAATGATGTAACAGCAGAGCCATCTGGTGGACTCACACAAGCAACAGATAGGTCACAAACCTGGCCAGAATATGTATCCATTGAAGAAGGTCTTGATTTAGCTAGAGACAAGACCAACTACAACATATATTACAGAAGTAAGAACAACCACATATTCAAATGGGCAGAGTCTTAGCCTTTAGATAAACCTATTAAACCAATCCCATATAATAGAGTATGAAATCTGAAATAGTGTTAAAAAGCTCTAAGATCACAGAGGTTTAAACAACCCTTACAAAATGTAGTCGTAACCAAGTGGCGTATGAGGTATGGTGTGTTGTGAGAGTCAATGTATAAGAAGGTCTGAGAAGATGATATAACTTACCGTATCAATGTTTCCTTACTTTATAATAAAGGGAAGTTGACAAATGGAAATCGTATAATACAAAGTTTTTATGTATATGAGGTAACTCAGACAAATGTCATACAAAGGTTTTTTTATATGAACTTTAAGTGCATCATGAGAAAACCTTACTTGCAAGTCCAAAATTGGACTAGTCAAAAAAAAATTATATTGAATAATTGCACTAAATGAAAATGACCATGATCATTGTTTATTAAACTAGATCATGACAATGACTAAATACAAAACATTTGTTATTTTTCTAAATATTCGAAATACAATAACATGTCAATTTGTTATAAATTAATTAACACTTTCTAAAACGAAATAGAGATATTTTTTTAATTTACAGATATAGAATCCTAATTAACTATCTTATTTTATATAAATAATTATTTTTTAAAAACATCTTACTCAATTTACCTGATTAAGATTTTGTTTGGTAGAATTTTTAGAGAACCTAGTTAAAAATATCATAAAACATCAAAATTTCAACCATTTTGAGAGAGCTTCTAAAATAGTTCCAATCGTTTTTCTAGAGGTAAAAAAAAATCTTATTTGTTTATAACTTATAAGTTTAACAATTAGGATCCTAATTTCTCATAATATGGGTTACCTACTTAAATAAATATTTTATTTTTAACAGAATCAAATGCCGTAATCATTTGTCATCCAACCGTCACTTAGAAGAATAATAGAATGGGACTTGCTATTTTATGGATCCACACATCACGAATATATATTAGTCACACTTGCTTCAACATAAAATATTTAACGTGTGTCATTTAATTATTACTTTTTATTATTCAAACATCACATTGCTTTATTATTATTATTATTATTATTATTATTATTATTATTATTATTATTATTATTATTATTATTATTATTATTATTATTATTATTATTATTATTATTATTATTATTATTATTATTATTATTATTATTATTATTATTATTATTATTATTATTATTATTATTATTATTATTATTATTATTATTATTATTATTATTATTATTATTATTATTATTATTATTATTATTATTATTATTATTATTATTATTATTATTATTATTATTGGTTAAAGGTTAATTTTGTATTAGTATTTTTAATTTTGTAATTGCTGAGATTGCTTAGTTATATATTTAATCTTTTCTTTTTTATGATTTTGAGCTTGGACTGAGATATCAAGATCCAATATATTCGAAAGAATAATTGTTAACATAAATTTTAAATTTAAATAAATTTATTTCACATACCAATACAAAATATTTGTAAAATTTCTTGTTTGCATAAATTATTAGAGGGTCTCTAAAATAAATTACATAAATACAATAGAATCTTGTTCTTTTCCTATTTTTCTTTATTTTTACCCCCAAATCATGGCCTTATTTTTTCCTTTTTTTTTTGTAATACCCTCGTGTTGTTTTTTTTTTTTTTAAACAACTTGTATTGAGATAAAATGAAAAAGAAAAATCAAAATAAAAATAATTTTACGTTATTAAAATATAAATTAAATAAAAAATAATTTTATCATTTAAATTGATTGTCTAAAATCTAAATCCTTCACTGATCCAAAAAGATACCCCATCGATTATACCCAAAAAATAAATATCAAATCTTATGTAATTAAGTAAATTTCCACAATCGTAACCGTTAATGCCACGTAAATTAATAACAAATTAAAAAAAAAAATCTTAACAGAGTAATAATAATACACACAACTAACACAAGTAAAGAATACTTTAATACTTCTTACTCACGCAATCTTTTCACGCGTCTTTAAAACCGCGTTAAAACGTCACCTTCACCATCAAAACCCTATTTATATACCAAACCGTCTCCTTCACCTCTCACAATTTCTCAAAACTCTTTCTCCAAAACAAAACACAATGTCAAAGAACGGTTCAAGAAACTGCTTAGGTTCAATGGAAGACATCAAGAAAGTGTTCCAAAGGTTCGACAAGAACAACGACGGGAAAATCTCAATAGACGAGTTCAAAGACGTGATTGGTGCTCTCTCTCCCAATGCTTCTCAAGAAGAGACCAAAGCTATGATGAAAGAGTTTGATCTTGATGGTAATGGATACATAGACATGGATGAGTTTGTTGCTCTCTTCCAAGTAAAACAAGATAATGATCAGATCAAAGATTTGAAAGAAGCTTTTGATTTGTATGATTTGGATCGTAACGGAAGGATCTCGGCTAATGAGTTGCACTCGGTTATGAAGAATCTTGGTGAGAAGTGTTCGATTCAAGATTGTAAGAGGATGATTAGTAAAGTTGATTCTGATGGTGATGGTTGTGTTGATTTTGATGAGTTTAAGAAGATGATGTCTCATGGTGGAGCTTGATCATGAAGTTAATCTTTTTTTTTTTTTTCCTTTTTGTAAATATGGGATTTTATGATTTCGTTAAACTAATAATTTTTAGGAAATAATTTAGGTTAATTAGAAGTTTAAGTTTTTAGGTTTTATTGATTCATAGAAGGATCTCTCTATGTTGCTTCTTGAATGGTTCTGACCTAATGTTAGGGGAAGTGTTGATGACCTAATTATTAATGGATTTTTAAGTTTATAATATAAGCTTTTTTTTTAGTTTGACAATTATGAATTTGGTTGGTTTATAACTTTATAGTATAAAGATTGGTTGAGTCATGTGCATCTTGTGTAATGATCGATCCCATGTGATCCTAACCATATCTCCTCATATCTCGCTGGTGCATTAATAACTTGGTAATACGATCCGATAATTATGTTCATCTAACTTATAAGTATCACATTAATAACATTAATTGTTTAATTTGTCAAATATTTAAAATTCGTATGGCATAAGATATTTACTAATCAATAATTCAAAGATTTTGTGTTGATTTGTTTTTCTAGATTTCCAAGAAATCTAGATTATTTATAGGATTATATTTGTCAAAAATCTAGCTTCAACTTGCAATTTTGGTTATAAATTAAATTTGTTTTTTGCATGTAATTAAATTGCCGTTATTTATAGAGAGTATTTATAGGGATATTTGCCAACTATCTATCTTGAATTTGCGATTTTTGGTTATAATAAATCTTATTTTCTGCATGTAATTAAAATTTTCAATTTTGGTTATAATTAGTTAATTACCATCCGATTATTATGTTTATTTGTAAATATATATCAACTAATTATAGAAACTCAAAGTCAACGATGTATGTGTCGGTTTATGTTTTCCTAATAGAAAGATTGTACTTGACATTTAGATAATACTTAAAAACTCAAAGATCTTGCATAATCTTTGTACTTAACATTTAGATTGGGTTTGTTAAGTAATGTTGCAGTTTTTGGTTTCTGCGATCAATCATATTTAATTAAACGGGCTAAGCCAGAACCCCCAATGAGGCCAGGCCATAACACTATTATTGTATGTACTGCATGATTTGTCTTGGTCTGCTTAGAAACGTATCCATTGGGCCTTTGATGAAAAAGTTATATTGGGCATCTTAAGTCATGTATGGGCCTTTTCTTCATCATAAACTATTGGAATACAGTAAAACCTCTATAAATTAATACTCGATAAATTAATAATTTTTATAAATTAATAAATTTCTTCGGTCCCAAGTTGGGACCAGTGTAACTTTAGACATATTTCGATAAAATAATAAGATAATAATTTTTTTGAAAATCTTTTGTAAATATATGGTCCCAATAATATTATAAATTAATAATTAGGTAAAATTTTCAAAATATATGTATATATAGACACATTAGTTTTTGTTAGAGTTTATTTCTAATATTTTACTATATCAAAAATTGTTAGCATTCTCTTTCAAGACATAATAATTATTATTTTCTTTGTAATTGATTATATAAAATACTAATTATCATGATTAAATCTCATTTTTAATTATTTTTCTGAAAAAACTTTCAAACTAGGAAAATCTCTTATTAATTTATCGATAAATTAATACCTCTATAAATTAATAGATTTTCATGGTCCCAACATTATTAATTTATAGAGGTTTTACTGTATGTGATTGGTTCACTGGTATGCTGATTGAAAGCAATGATTATCCAACGGATAAAAGATATTAATGATGAAATTATACAAAGAAGTAAAAATGTCATATATCTCTATATGTTTAAGTAGTATGATGATTTATATTTATTTTGAAACTTATGAAGTAAAAAGGTCATATATCTCTATATGTTTAAGTAATGATGATTTATAACTTATGAAGTAAAAATGTCATATATCTCTATATATCTAAGTAATGATGATTTATATTAATTTTGACAATTTAAATTCATTGTTTGAGAAGTTCCGGGAATAGACAACAAAAACATTTATTTTGTTCAAGCAATAAAGGACTAAAAACTTGGTTTTATTACCGTAATATGCTTCCATGTTTTTATTTTTTTGCCAGAGGCTTCCAATCTTTTGATTGTAACCTTACATGTTTTCATTATCAATGAATTATTCACCAATTAATAGAAGTTGTTAATAATGAATATATAATTTAGTGATTATGTAGATTATCATTAGTGATGTTAATATGTTACAATCATCCTATTATTCAGCAAGACCAGTTTATATTTGAGACCTTTAATGTGATGTAAGGTAGCAACACCTAGATCTTTCGGGTGAGGGAGAGAAAGCCAACACCTAGATCTTTCGGGTGAGTGAGATGGGTTTGGGGAAGAGAAAGAGACTGGGGGAGAGGAGGATGGAGATAGCAGCGGACGGTGGAGAAAGAAGAGGGTCTCGACTCTCAAGTGATAAGTTTGGGGATTTGTTTTTTTTTTTTTTTCTTTTCAAGGGGATTTTTTTTTTTAAGTTATGTTTTATCTTTTTTAAAGTGAGAAATGAGAATAATAATGTTTTAGAGCTATTTTAGAGGTTTCAGTTTTTTTGGATCTGAGACATTACATAACACTTAAATCTAATTTTTATTTTGAAAAGTATATAAAAATAAGTGATTTTAGCTCTATGTTTAGTAATTTTCTATCTTAACATTATTTTAGTGCTATATTAAAGTAATCAAAATTTTTTTTTTTATCATTCATAGCAATTATGAAAAAAATAAACTATCATTGTATGCTATCAATGTTGATATTTCTAGTAGTAGTTTGATATCGTGGCTATACATTGCTATATGTTTTTTTACTAATATTCTATTTGGGATTATGGTTAATAATTTTCAAATTATCATATTTACAAAAAAAAAATAATTTTCAAATATAATGTGCTTATTTTATTAAAATTTTAAAGTATAAGTATGATTTTAGTACTTAAAATTTCTTGTTGAAAGAAAATAAATTTAAATATTATTGCTCAGTACTTTGAAGGATTGATTATAAATGATGAAATTTAAAATTAGAATTATGCAAATATCTTTTACAAATACATATATGTATATTTCCTTCTACTTTCCTACAAAAATGTTTCCTTCTACTTTCCTACGAGATTTCCTTCAACGCTATCGGCGAAGGAAATTTGAAGTAACATTTCCTACCAAATATCTTCCGCGTTTTTTTCCTTCCATATTCCTGTACTTTTCCTATGACTTTTCCTACCAATCTAATTTTTAAAGGTATTTGGAAGAAAAATTTCCTACGACTTTCTAACGCAGTGTTTTGTAGTAAATATTCTACCTTTTCCTACACTTTATTGTTTTCGTAAAAAATATGTATGTATTTGGTAGGAAAACTTTCCTACCAATTCTATTGGAAGGACCATACGTAGGAAATCATGATGTTTTCTTGTAGTGTATACTGTAGTTTTTTTTGGCATAAAGACTAAAGTTATTTGTCTAAATATGTCATGCTCTAAGCCATTACTCGGGTAGCTTGTGCTGTGGGTTGGATCTACAAGACTGCAACTCACGTTAAAACCCATCTTTGTCTTTGAGAGACCCTAAAGAAAACAATGCACTTTCAATTTAGACTAATCCTGCTTGGTTTGAATATAAAGTCCATAAAAAAAAAAAAGATAAGATATAGTCATTAAAACAGAAGGACCATTTACGGACCTGGCCTAGTTACAAGCTCACGATATATGTATTTTGGCGTTGTTTGCGACAAAATCAAATTGAAAATCTTGTCTTAATTAATAGTGAAAGAGAGATTGTTTTGTTGACAAACAAGAAGAAGAAAAGAGTGAGACAAAGATGTTTTGTGTCCACGAGTAGAGATGATAATAATATCTAAGACAGTTCTTTAATTGTTTTTTGTCTTGACGTCGACGTCGACCTTTTTCACTCTTTGCTAGGTTTTCACTTCTATGTGTCACTTTCCATACTTTGGTATCCCGAATAACGTAAGATATTAAATAAATGAATAAAGTTAGAATTTTCATAATGTATATATGTGTGAATAAAATAATTTGCGAAATTATTGGCAAAATTACTAGATTACTTAATTTAAAAAAGTACTGTCGCAGCAAGTTGTAGACGGTGGCTGGTTGATAGGTTTTGCTCTTAATATCGGTTTATGTACGACTCTAATGGCGAAACTTTGGGGGTGCATATTATGGTCTGGTTTTGGCTTGGGAGCGAGAATGGAGGCAGTTGGTTTTGGAGGTAGATTCAGAGAATTTTTTGTGATCAGAGGTTAACAACGCTCATTAGTTCGTCGGTTCTATCATGACTTTCTTTTGAGGGATTGGTTAGTTTGGATTAATTATGTGTATAGGAAACCAACCGTCTCGCAGATAGATTAGCGAATTATGCGTTTTCTTTATTTCTTAAATTTCTTTTGTTAGAAGTTTGCCCCAAAATTTGTGATTCGGTGCGATTTGATGATGTAAATGGGGTTTTATTTCACAGAATGTCCGTATGTAATGTTTTCCGTTTTTGTTGGATAAAAGTAGGACACGCTTTCTCTCCTATCTAGTACCAAAAAAAGTTGTAGAGATTTAATTAGGTTGAAAATGGACAAATAGCTTATAATTAGGCAAAACACTTTTTTTGTTTCAATGTATAAAGCTTACGCAAAAATTAGTCTGAGAAAAATTTATTTAATAAACTTTGATACCAACAAAAAATGTATTATATGATAGCTAACATAGCTACCTATTTGATATACACATGCAAAATTATCAATTATGTTTTCTAGTCAACATCTGATTATATAGTACATAAAATAAATAAACAAACTCATATTTAACTGATAAAATGCATTTACAATTGTTTGTTTTTGCACTTTTAATAGAGATCGAACAGCTTAAACATAAATTATTTACCTTTTGCACAAAAACATTACAAATATGTAAAAGACTTTATATACTTAACGTAAAATAAGTTGATGATAAGGAAAACAGTTTGTAGAAAGAAAAAAAAGAGAGGAACGTGCATGGTCATCGTCCACGAACAATGTTTCAAATAAGACAGAATCTCATAAAAGCAGTAAGGTGTGAAGTTGTTTTCATATAAAAGTCCCAAGTCTGGGTCCTTGTTCATTTGTTTACTTGTGAACCTAATCATACACAATAATTGTTTATTCTTTCAAAATCATAGATACCATGCACGATACTACAATACTTAGCTTGTTTTAATTCAAAAACAGAAAATATATATTACGAAACTTGTTTCATTCTTTCAAATTGTATTATATATAATGCTTGATCAACAAAAAATGACATTTTAAATTATTTTGTGCAAACTAATTTAAATGGTATGTATTCGACGAATTTACGTACCATTTTATTACATTGTATGTATGTATATGCACTTGTAGGGTTTTCCAAAAAGACAAAAAAATGATTGGTAGGTTAACTATATAGCTCTCAAAGTTGAATGGTAGATTAATATGCATTGAACCTTGTCCTCTTACCTTCAACTAGAAAGAGACAATGGTTCATTAGGTACGTGTTTATTAACATATGGCTCTGTAATTTATTTATTTATTATTCAATAAACTCTATCACCTGATCCGGTCAGTTCATGTAGAAACACGCCAAAATGTTTTGGAGTTAACTTTTTTTCGAAAGGCCACCATACTGTCTATTTCGAGTTTGGAATGTTTTCCAACTATAGTAGTCGGATTGTCTGCATTTCTAACTATCAAATAAATCATTTTTGACCCAATTGATTTTCTATATAACCATGAGTTTTGTTTCCATAGTAAATCGAACTTACGTTAGTTTTTTCCAATTTTTTTCTATTTCTCTCTTACCACTGAACTACAGCTTTGAGGAAAAATCTGTTATTTATATATGCTTTCAACAAAATCGAAATTGTTGAAATGATTACTAAACAAAGAAGAGGCGTGCGACGTGCCGGGACACACGTAAGACACAGTATTATTGTATACACGCACAAACTTACAAAAACGTTAAACATCTTTTGCAATTATTTTTGAAATGAAATACTACAATTTCAACGGTTACGGTTAGCACAAGTTGGCAAGCCGTGTGTTGTATCATAGCTCCTTCGTTTATACACAATACACGTATACTACAAGAGTTAAATTGATACATGACAAGATCGATGGTCCAAAAACTCTGTTTTCTCTTCTCGTATAATTGATGGTCCAATACGTAGAATAAGACAAGACTCAAGAGTGAGGAGGTTCTTTTAATGGCAACTCCAACCCCATTCTATTTTAGAGTCAAAACTTTATTATATAGTAATATTTGCTCCAATGTATTACTCTATATCTTACTTTAAAATATAGTAAATTATAAAGTTCTTCTAAATATAGATCAATTCTATTTTCTTCTCTATTTTTTTTACAGTACCTCTATTTTAGAGTAAAAAATAGAGTAATACATTGAAGTAAAACAATGATCTATTTTAGAGTTACTCTATTTTGGAGAAAAAAAATAGAGATTTATATTGGAGATGGTCTAGGAGAAGCGATGAACAAAGATACAAAAATGGCGAAAGTTCCCATGCACCTTTTGTTTTATATGTTTTGTTACATTCACTATTAATTGACAATATTTTTTTACCCAATTATGCTTTATAAAATAGTTTTTTCTGTAAATAAAAGAATAGTGAATTCCGATATTTTTTTGAGATTTTGAGAAATACTATTTTTGGTGTACCTTTTTCAAAGTACCCCTTTTATCTATCTATTTTTAAAAATACCATTGTTTAATATGAATTTTTTATATTTTTATATGGTTTATAAGATTCTTCTAGATAATAAATACTACTGGAAGATTTGATACAAATAACTTTAACGTTTTAAAATGTTTTAAATCGTTTTTACAAGGTTTCTAAAATGGTTTTAAAAAGTTTTAAAAGGTTTTTTATAAGATATTCATACGGTATTTAATTTAAGAAAGATATATAAAATTTTATATACATAAAAAAATAATCTATGTTTACATATTTTTTTTTTCAGTTGAGAATTATATTGTTTTATCTAAGGTATAATCGTCAGTCTTGCAATTCTAAAATTTCGTGTATCTATATATATAAAGTTAACTTTTTCTCTCTTCTTTTAATGCCACATCTTCTTCCACATCAGCTGCCACATCATCATTCATCTTAATTTTTTACATTGATTTAGAATTACATCACTTTAGTTTTTAATTTCTTTTCTACCTCATAACATAGTCTTTATTTTATTTTTATATCCAATAGTGGTTTTAAGAGATTAAATAATATAGTAAAAACATTTATGTCCAAAATAAATAAAACAAGTATCTATTTATAAAGTAGTGATCAATTTTTTGATTAATGGGGCTAAATACAAAACAAAATACAAAATACGGATATTTATACTATACAGATAAATATACCACTAAATTGATGTCATCCGAAGCCACATCAAACGAGAACACAACTGATTTAAGGCATAAGAAGTAGAAAAAAAAAACTAAAAAGTAAAATAAAAACACTTGGATAAATAAATAAGTGGATTCACCAAAACAATTTGGCCTACAAGAATTGAAGGCTTTTGAAATGTAAGGTTATAACAGCTAATATTTGACCTAAATCAAAGTTTAACAAATAACAATAAACATTTCATATACTAAATTAATACAAAAACAAAAGTAAAAACAAAAAAAATCAAAATATAAATTTTAAAATATAAAAAAATAATTATAAAACTCACGCGCGTAGCGCGGGTCAACAACTAGTATCTTATATAGAAGACCCATCTAAAATTTCCACCATATAATAATACACCATATGCCCATCATACTACCGTTCTTGGATACTATTTGACTAGCTACCGTTCTTGCATGGGGTAAGTACTTCACAAGTGATGAGAAGATGATGACATCAATACAAAGATGTCAACACTTATGCCCAAACATTATATGATTACTTAAAGAGTAGTCCTTGTCACATATTTTGTTGAAAACAATTAGGATTCGTCGACATGATACTTCTCCATAAACAGCCAATAACATTTACGAGGGTATAATAAAAAGAAAAAAATAATCATATTTACTCGTTAGTGCAACTACTATATATATACTTTTGTTTTTGGTCAGTATTTGTATTCTTAAAAAGTGTAATATTTACAGAGGAGGTTGTTACTTCTAGTGCTTGGTTATGTCAGTTTAATTTGAGTTACATTGTTACCTGTTGGATATGAGCCTTGCCCCTTCCAAATTAGAAGGCCTACAAAACAAGATGTGCCAATTAATGAAGCCTTTTACCCAAAAACAGGCCCAGCACCTTCGCAGGGGTAAAACCGTCATTCGCCAAGGAGACACAAAGAGTTTCTAGGTTTCTGTGCAACTATAAATACATTAAACCACTGTTTGGAACAGGGATCGGTCCAGAGGTTATTATCCACCAGACTGAGAATCGTGCCGCGCCCGAACTCGCCCTAACCCGAGATTCCCGCCGCGACTCTCTTTCTCGTGATTTTGCACTTCTGTTTCGTATTAGCTTCTCAGCTCGGCAGATAGTCTATAACTGCCGCAGCGAGACTTCTCTCTTTGTAACTTCGGATTTTCCGCAAAAGCTAATAAAGAAAATTGTTTCGTATCGTCCCAAAAATCTCGTATCATTATTGTAGCTGCTCCCCCCTTGCACAAACAATTGGCGCCCACCGTGGGGCATACGAAACACTTCTTTCTTGGCAACCTTGAAGATTCCGAAGCCTCCCGGAGAATCCAAAGCAACATGTCCGACGCAAACTCATCCAGCGACAGGGGAACGAACACCTCCCGACGCCCAGATCCCGACGCGCCCGTTCTGTCTCCGGAGCGGCACCTGTGGGGACGCAGAAGAGCCCGAACGAATATGCTACCACACCTCACTGGAGCAACGACAGCAGGCGCCGCGCCCACGAATGTCGATCCAGAACGTGCCGAGCCGGAAACTGCTGAAACGGAAAACGCCGAGCCGGGCCAAAGACTGTCGCACCGCCGTGCCGAGCCAGAGACTGTCGAGGTGGAAGCTGCCAATCCAAGACAGAGACCCCCGGCCCGCCAAACCGATCATGTGCATGCCGCCCCGAGAAACACCAGGCCAGTACGCATCGCTCCGGCCACCGCGGCTACTGCCCATGGTGGAACTCACCTTGACGGCCTGATGCAAACCATCCTCGACCGTCTCGACGACCAGGACGTACGAACCTCCGAGAGGATCAACGCACTTGGAGAGGCGAACGCAGACACACGAACTAGGATTGACCGGCTCAGGCGCCATCGACACAGCTCGCGACCTCACCATTCCC